GATAAACCAATACCCGTGCTAGTATCATTAGTATATTGATTCAGTGTCTTATTGTCCTCAAGTGTAGTTGAGGTAATAAACAATGTCAGCAGTTTGGAGGTATTTCAACATCAGTGGAGAAGAGAGAAGGACCAGCTGTAGGACTGGTTCTGCTACGATACCAGCAATTGAATAAAACATCTGAAGACGCGCGCAAAATAACGTCTCTTTTCACTTGAACAGCACAGTGGACAGATGAGGAGTTTACCCCTCACAGAGTCACTTGTTCGTTGGGAACTCATTTAACTAACAGTTTGTGTGTTAACTTGTTTATCTTGTTAAGGAGACACTTTATTCACTGAAAAGCCGACAGTGGTGTTTTCAACTGAAATTCCACTGGTATCGGTGTAACAGTTCTTCTGATTTCTGTGTTTACTTTGCAGTTTCATTCTATTTATCTTAATGTATTATTATTTATTCACTTTTTTTATATATATATTTATTTAGTCCTTCCTCTGATGTGACAGAAGGCTTTGTGTTAAAATACTGAGAGGTTTGTTTCCCTTTGAATTATCGTTTCGTTAAAGAGAAGAAAACAAAACTGGCAGAGACAGGAATTATTTTCTCACTGTCCTCGCTGTGGTTTGGACGCAATTTGAAAATGTTATTATTGCAAATATTTGTTGCTGTTCATAAACCTCTTTTAGCCTCTGGACCCATATTTGGGCCGCACTAATATCAATGTGTCTTATAAAACAACAGGTTTTTGGATGAAGAAACCACATGTGACGCTCAACCTCCTGCACTTTTATTTCTCTAACTGTCTCTCTGAGTTGTTTAAACTTGGCTGACAGCATTACTTTTCAGTTAAAGGTTGATTAAAATCCATCTGGGCCCCACATATATTTAAATGGGCTGCGTAAAAATGGAAGTGATTTGAAATCAAAGCAGCACTTGAAACACACGTGCAGTACAATGAAAGCAGGTAAAGCTGTCAGTCAATCAGAAGCCAAAGAACGGTTGTTAAAAATGCAAAACTGGACGAGGACCTATGAACTCATTTTAATTTTGTTTTTGGAGATTTGAGGCATTGAGGTGTCAGTGGTTGCCATATCTGATGGTGAGTTAAACGGACATGCATGAATGAGGACATTTACTGTAAACCACTGGAAATCGCTGCCCATTTCCTTTTCCTTTTCAAATGATGCTCCCAGCACGTTGTTCCGTTGTTTGTGCCTTTTGTTGTTTACTACTTTAGTAAACCACTGTTCTGCAGTTCCACTTTGATTTTTCCTACAATTATCTGCACAGTCACTGCTGAATTGTACCACTGATGGGAAACAAAATATACAACACTTATTGGCAGAAAAATGATATCAACTACATGTGTCTCTTTGTCCAAATCTCTGACAGATGGAGTACAATAATATTTTTTATGAAGAAATTGCAACAGCAGTTCACACAAAAGAGCTGAGAAAATACTAACCACATGCATCCCCTCGTATAAGAAAGGTCTGGCTTTTTCAACTTCTATCAATGAGTCACACACTTTGGTCCAGGAACGCACTATTTCAGATATGCTGATTTATGACACACCGGACTTATGTACAAACAAAAACTGCGTCTCGTCCACTGAGGCATTTATGGAGCAGCCCTTACATTTATCTTTGTTTTTGTTTTTGCATGTGGAGAAAACAGACGTTTGACCTACTTTTTGTTTCTATTTACAGGAGGTCCTTGGTTTACGATGTCGTCGACCTCCGGCGTGTCGTGATTCCGTCGCTGTGTTACTGCTGTGGTAGGTGAGTGACATACAGTAGTTACTTAAATCGAGTCACGTCACCCCATAGGTACAGAACTCTATCACACTATGAAAAATATGTAGGCTCTAAAATTTAGGTTAAAACTTTAATAGCTACTATAGCCTTATCTGAAGTTGCACTTAATCTTTAATGATTTGACACGGTTGGTATACGCTGTGTCATGCATCCCTCCTATTTTGTGTGGGAGTGATTTTTGACGTGGAGTGAACGTCCTGGGATTCAAAGTGTGTCTGAGCGCTCTCTTGTTTTTATCAAAAAACGACAGCAAAAAGCAAATGGACTGTAACGGTGTCTGAGTCGTGGGTTACAGGGTTAAATTTGGTCGATCTGTGGAGTGAATGTCACTGTAGACGCCGTCCCTCTGTAAAACCCCTCTCTGCTTTTCACTGTCAGTGTTGACTGTGTGAACTCTTCTGCCACGGAGAAACTATTTTATAGAAACTCATTCGTCATATATATGACATTTTCAGACAGACAATTTTCATATAATACCAACAGAATCATTGTGTTATCCCTATTACCGAAAATGGATGCATTCATCTGAACTAGTTTAGGACCATTGTAACCCTGTAGCTGTAGCCGTCATGTATTACAGCTCTGTGTTTTTGTATGGGAATGCAAATGGTTTTCAGTAACAAAGTTTGCAACAAAGATGCTCTGCAGCTATTTTAGAACCAGGGTTCTACTAGTTCTACTAAACCTAAGTCTATAGCACACCTTCGTGCTGCCTCTGGATCAGTAAACATAAAACTGTTTTCCCAAACGTGTTAAGAAAGACCACACCCTTAAATGTCCTTCTTTAAACTCACAAACCACACAGAGAAGCTACAGTTAGCCCGGCTCTTTTCACGTTACAAAAAAATAAAATGTTTGAATTCAGTAGTCAAACATTTGATAATTATTTAAGCAGCTGTTTAACTATTAATTCATCAGTGATGCCAATAAATATTTTAATGGTTTCATTACCTATTTACCAAGCAGAATTGGTCAACCAGTAATTTCATTTCCAGTATGTTTTTTAGGTAAAATTAAATTTAAGTTTCTGAAGTAAAAATAAACCCAGTTTCTCTTCAAACGTCAACAGGGAAACAAGGCCTTTGATTTGCAACATTTCTGTTATTAATAGAGCATGGAAATCTCCAGAGACATCCTTTAAAAAAGCTGGACATTTTTACCACTCGCTGCTACTTTTATAACTGATCCTGAAAACTCGGTATATCATTGACTCTTTTGCTGCCTTTGTTATTTACAGATTTATGCACTGAGCAAATTTTGTCTATAAATCTGTTGTTGGTCAAATTCCTCATGTAGAGGAGCTGAAATTCTCCATCGGCCGTGATTCAATGATGTCCTATAAATGTCAGTTTTCAGCATCTCCATGTGGGCCCCTCATGGGTCCTGTAGGCTACACTAGTCGGCCCGTTATGCCCACTACTTGCCTTTCCAATAAACATCGGTTCCGAGTGCATGGCATGGTCTTATAGCCCACTCATGGTTCCACGTTTAATACTGGCTGGGTGGAATTGGGAACAGAGCAGGACTTTTCCAGAACAATGCTACTCCAGTAGTAGGAAGACAAGCAACAGATTGAAAAAACCTTTATGAATATATGAAAAAAATGTATACCACTTGAGATTTACAAAGAAGAACAAAAATACCAAAATGACACCAAGTGTCAAAACTGGAGTGTTTGCCAAGAAGTTCAAAGTAGTTCACACTGTGGAGAACAAAAGTGAAAAAATACTCTACAGATTTCAAAACCTTGCTAGCAATGTGTCTAAAGAGTCTAGAAGAACTGCCAAGACAATAATAAATATCTGGGTCCAGTTTGGAACTGAAGAATCAATAACCACAGTCGGTAGAATCGTGCATGAAAAGCGATTTTGAGGTTTGACACCAAAATAGGCTGGAATTCACCTCCAACGACTTGGACAAAGATGTTGAAGACTAGAAGCAGATGATTCGCTCAGAGGGGACAAAACCCAAAGTTTGACTGTGAAATGTTACTGATGTTTGGAGAAATGCATCGCTGAACTGCGAAACTTGTGGTTGTAAAGGAAATTATAGACAAAGAGAAAAAAAAAACAAGGACGTTCTAGAAGGAAACCTCAACAGTCAGCAGCAGTTTTGAGTCTTCGTGTTATGTCTTTCAACAGGACAACGACCAAGAGATTTTGTTCGACTGCTGAAGCGTATCTTAATAGAGAAACATGGATGTCATCGACTCGCCAGTTATTCAGCAAAAAGCAATGTCAACTATCACAGTGGATTAAACGTTAGCTTCCTTAAAAAAGGTTGGCGAATTCTTTGTTTACAAAAATATTTAGTGAATATACAAACATCTGAAAAATACATGAAAAAATATATGCAGATTTTTTTTTCTTCTATTTTATGTGTGGTTTTATTATTTGTTTTATTGTAAAAGTCGTCATTTATGGTATAATGCCTTGCTGACCTCTTGACCTGGTCTCTTGTAAAATAGATGAATATTTATGATTTGGACCTTGTAAAGCGTAATCGTATCGTCAGGCCCCGGTCAGATAGCATCAGTAGATAGGATCTCTGCCATTGAACGGACCGACGCTGACTGAGAGGAGCAGAATAACAACAGGCTGCAGGCTGCAGGCTTCGACTGCTGCAGCCCGTAAGAGCGATGGAGAGACGCTCTGGGACTTGGGACCGAAATCCACTTGTATTCCTGTAACACGATCGGCTGTAATTGGCCGGAGGAGCGCAGATTAAGATTGATGAGACATTAATGTGGCTCTTTGGACTTTTAAAAGGACGAGGGATCGATAAATATCCGAGATTTTCAAGAGCTCCCCTTGGGTTTTGAGACAAATCACTGTGACATGGCTTCCCCTACTGCTGCTGCTGCTGCTGCTGCTGCTGCTGCGACACTGATCCGAGAAACATGGAGGATGGAAAACAGGAAGAATAACAGAATCCCTACTTGAAAAATTGACTCTTTTTTTCTATTTATACATAAAAATGCGTCGACAATGGAGTAATCCTACTACATACTCCCTAGAAAATATAGTTTTTATTTTTTTTGTGTGAAACCGAATGTAACACGAGAAATAATTACAGGGTCGTGTTGGTGGTCATTTATTTAGGAAATCCCTAATTTATTATGATTCAGGTCAAAACAATTTTAAGTAAACGATTAAAAAAAAATTAAATACAAAGAATACAAATGACCTCACTAAAAAAGTTGAACCACGCCAAATTCACTTTGCGTAATTTACGCGCAATTAGCTCCCAAATGTTTTTGGTCCGTGTTAATGTAAAATAAAATAAAAATTACAATTACTGAAATAAATGTAATTGAATTATGTACAAACGTTTAAATATAAAAAATATATTTTTAATTTAATTACGAAATGACTTTGCGCATAACGATTACGCACAACGAGCGTCTGCGGGATGACGTTTCCTCCAGTATTTTCTAATATTCCACACCGTTGGTCTCAGCTTTCCTCAAATGTAGACTAAATAGATATGATGCTGTGTTGTGTCCTGTCCTGCTCTGCGCCTTTGACCCCGTTGTTCTGAGCGGCTCGGCCCAGTTCGTGGCCCTGGTCCTGGTGTCATTCAGCACCACTGGACCTGGAGCAGGACGACGACGACCCTGCGACAAAAGCGACATTGTCTGGTATAAAATGTTTTTTTTGGTTTTTTTACTTTTTTGTTTGTATGATCACATCTATATTTTTTATCGTTTTGTTTCTTTTTAGTTGTTTTTTTTTAAGCAGTTTATTTTCCTTGTAATAAAAACTGACCCCAGGGATTATCTGGATAAAAAGGTCACGTCACCACGGTCGTCTGACTAATCGTGCTAAATTTAAATAGTATTACGCATTAATTTGTATCAATTAAAATAAATCCTTAAATAGTTCGGTAAGTTTCGTAATGAGGATAAAAAATGCTAATTCAGTTTTTGTTTCGAAAAAATCAATTTCATGAAACCATCTTAGGACACACGGATATAAAACAGCTTATTTTATTAGCTCTTTAAATTACGGTCAAACACAGAATAAAAAAAACTCAAATCACAGATGTTATAATCCAGTGTATTTCAAGTGCATTTTCTTCAATGAAATTGTAATATTTATATATTTATAATATATAATGTGTCATCGTTTCCTTTCCCTCTCATGTAGGCCGAAACATGGTAGAGGAAAAAAACGAGCAAATATTTTAAATAATAATAATTCAAGTAAATTGATGGCAATGTTTTAATTGCGGCGTTAATTCGCCTACGCCATCAAAAAGGTAAACTTTTAAAAAGTGAAATGAGCGTCCACTAAAACAGGTGAGTCAGACTAAACCACGGATGCAGGAATAAATTAACAGTAAGGACTGAAATGTTTCAAATAGATTCAGTTTAAAAAAAAACAAAACAGGTTGAGCCTTTTTACGTGTCACAGAAGAACAACACTCACATTATCAGACCACTGTAAGAATCACATGTAAGGAATGTATTTACAGTATACAATGTACAGTTGTGTGGGTTTTTTTTAAATGTTTTTAACAAATATTGAAGTGTGGACACGGGTAGAAAGAAGCATCCTCCTGGTTTAGAAATGCTAGAATTGTTGACACTTTCGAAAAGGTGCGCGTGTAAATGAGAAGCTAAATTGTTGTTCTGAAAGAGAGAATATATCCAGTAAGAGGGACGGGAATTAAATGTTGCCAAATTATGTATATGTTATGATATTTTAGTCGTTTGTTTTGGGGGCCTCTCTACGGTAGTTTCCCGGGGCCTTTTGTTTTTACCTCAGAGTTTCTCCAGGCTTTTGGGGTTGGTGAGTATCTCTCTCGCTAGGCGCCAAGTCTGTTTCGCGGCGTTCTCCAGAGCAGAGGACGGTTTCCCCTGGAACAAGTCTAAATTGGGCAGAAAATAGTGCGGACACCTCCTGCATTGCAAACAGGAAATAAGCTGTAGCAAAATACCGTTCAGCCGGTCTCCTAGGCAGTTCTCGTCCCAGTCGGACTCCCGGGGATGCTTCTCGCACTCGTAGGCGACCAGTGTCTTCATGTGGTAGTTGTTAAGAGGCTGTCCCGCGAGCTCCAAGTGTCGGTCGCGCAGCGCCTTCAGCACCGACAGGCACTTCTTCCTGCAGCCGCCCAGCAGGAGCCGGTTCTCGGCCTCTGCGAATTGCAGCACCCAGGCGTCACTCTCTGCCGAGCTCTGCTTGCCGTTCAGCGAGTAGCATTCTTTGGATAAAAGGTTGAAACCCTCCGCCTTCACCTCGGCCACGCGATTCGGCCCCGGCCAAGGGATGTGCGGCAGCGGCCAGTGTGCAGCGCTCCGCGGCCAGATCCCGGTGCATTTAAAGGCGGGTGTGATCTGCACCACGTACCTGTCTCTGATGCGCAACTTCACCTCACTGGTGTCGGCGACCATTTTCACAACATCCCGGTAGCTGCATTTATCCACCGCCTGCGCCACCAGAGTCTGGAACCGGGAGCGGATTTTGCGCGCCGAGAGGTAACCGGAGGCAGTGATGAACTCCACCCAGAGGGACATGCTCCTCTTGCGGCCGTCACTAAGCTTTAGCACGGCGCAGCCGGGCAGGGAGCCGTCATCCACAAAGTTGAAGACCCCCATCTGGTTCAAGTAGAGCACGACCTCGAACTCCGTGGGTGAGATGACCTCCAGTCCTTCGAAGCGGTTGTCCATCTCACTGAGGGAGCTAATAAAGCGCGGCTCCTGCACCTCCACCTCCTTCAGGACGTCCGACACCACCTTGCACACCTCCCGGATGGTCTTGGCGATGGCCGCTTTTCGAGACTGACATTTCTCGTTGTAGTATTTGTTGAGGTGGTACACCAACTTGGCCTGCGCGGCTATCATGTTAGGGCAGAGATCCGGGTTGTATACCGGAGTCTCGCAGTAAGCCGAGGGATCCAACGCGGCTGTTTGTACGGGAGCCAATTTTAGAGAAGAAAGTAATCGATTTACAAAGAAACAATGACGGCCCGGATATTTTTAAAGATAGCTGCTCAAAGTGTGCACGAAGCACATGCGTAAAAAAAAACCCCAAGTCACAACATTCACAGCTCCTGCACCATAACTGCCTCAGGAAAAGTCGTTAAAATATTCAGTGCTGTGACATCAAAAGTTCATTTCAGCCTCAGCAGCAGCTTGAAGAACAAACCGCCTCTCGTGTTGTTGTGTAGATCCCTGTGCCAGGTATGTAGGAGGACGCGTAATTGCGCACAAAGTGGAGTGGAGTGAGTGTGGTGAGTGGAGTGTGCCCTGCTGACGAGGACGCCCCGGTGCTGCTGTGTTTTACAACAGTCTCTCCCACACATACACACACTCTCACGACACAGTCTCTCCCTCTCTCTCTCACTCTCCCTCTCTCTCTTTCACACACACACTCACTCACACACACTCTTCAGTCCAAAGGGAGGAGTTGAAGTCGATGTGTCCAATCACTGTCTGATGCGTCATCGCTTTCTTTCAGTTGATCGAAAACAAATTCATCCTCGGGTAATATTTATATACAAGTAGAAAAAAAAAGTACAGGTTGAAGTCGACGAGTGGATGTGGAGCCACACGTTTGGAGAGGAGAAAGAGAAGAGCAGAGAAAGTGTGTGTGTGTGTGTGTGTGTGTGTGTGTGTTGAAGCTGCGTTATGTTGCTATTTTTGCCGGAACTATCAGATCCCTAAAGACCTTTTTATGGAATCATAAATGGCAGAGGTGGTTTACTTAATTATTTATTGTCTGAATAATATGAAAAAAATTATATATCGCATCTGCTGGAATATTTCTTTATAAATCGTTAGCATTGAATATAATCGTAGGTGTTTTTAAATGATTTTGTGCGTTTTTCGTGCGTAAATTGTTGGACTTTTGTTTTTTCTGTTGTAAAGGCCCGTTTTTACGCCGCTATTATTTACTAAGGTGTTTTAAAAATTGAGTTTTTTTACTATGTTTCCTAACCGTGTAAATAATATGCTCTATTATTAAAAAACAAATCTCTGTTGCGCATTTAAACCAAAGTATTTGGCCCCTGATTGACAGATCAGCTGCAAGAGAAAGAGAGTATCTAATACCTTTTACATGATATTTTTTATTAATATAAAAAAGAGAATACAACCAAAGTATTTGGCCCCTGATTGACACAGATCAGCTGCAAGTGAAAGAGAGTATGTAATACCTTTTACACGATTTTTTATTAATATAAAAAAGAGAATGAATTTCAAAAATCTGATTGAAATAATCAACGTGTAAACATTTTAACTCCGAGTGCCTTTGAATATCGTATATAAATGCGCCGCACGTTGACAATTTATTTTATGATTTATTTGTCAAAAAAAGCGAATTTTACAAGAACAAACGTTGAATTTATGTATCGTTTTCATTCACAAATATGTGCGTTTTATTTAAGAAAACTAACAGAAAGAATTGAGAACAAAACGCAGATGATTCCAACTGTGTCCGCTGCGTTTCGACGTCCCTCTGCTGCTCCTACTGACAGCGATGTCCTTCACACTCAGGCCTGTCTGTCCTTCATCACTGAACTCTCTGTTTCTGGATGTTCATGTTACCACTTTAAAGAAGATTTAAAATAAAAAAAAGATTACAAATAGACTAAAGCAGTTGGAGAGAGTAATAAACTGAGGTCGCTGTCATTTATCAGCTCTGACTTTGGCTCACGCGCATGGATTCAGTTTGTTAGCCGGATTATGTGTGTGTGTGTGTGTGTGTGTTTGGGGGGTGGGACGGTGGGGTGAAATTATTGCCCATCTCCATTTCAGGGTTGATTTTTTTGAACTATTAAATCTAAGAATAATGTTTTCCGAACCTGTGAGCGTGATCAAAAATGTTTTCATGGTCAAAAATAATCACATTTTTCACTTGTTTATTCTTAGAGACTGAATAACAAACTCACTGTTTTGAGATAGTTTTCAACAAGTTCTAGTTAAGTCTCCCAGCGAAGTTCTCCCTGGGCATTCGTCATTGTTTAGTTCTTCTCCCTGATTTCCAGTTTACTTCACTGATTTATACAGGATTTTTATTTCTCTGTTTCCTTGTATTGTGGTCATGGTTGTCTTTGGTTATTAGAATGATAAAAAACAAAACAATGTGTTGTGTAAATTCCCTTCCTCACTTGGGGCGCTGTAGCAGCAGTTTGATGTTATCTTTTTTCCATCTAAAGTGAACACATTTGAAATGTGTGATTTAAATGTGTCTTGGTTTTTGCATGAAATTATATTTCTTCCCTTTTATATCCAATCGGAAATTAGATCGGTTTTGTCTGTTCTGCTCAGAGGGGATGGTTTGATTCCTGATGAATGTGTGAGTGTTCTCTGATCGAATCTAGGATTTAGCCTTAAATTAGTTCCATTTAATGAATGAACAAATGATGTAGTGAAAAGTTATTTAAGTGAATGAACCTCCTGATTGTTTTTCAGTAGCTAGCTTTCTCTGTCACCTACAGTATTTGTACATGTTACTACCTCTGTTAGCAGAGACATCTTCTCTACACTTTTCTAAGAATTCTTCAAGTTAACCAGTAACTGCACAGTTGGGAAGAGACACTAAAAAGAAGATTTAGCTCATTTTCTGGGTTGATTGCTACGTAACATTAGCTTTCAGGTTTTTTTCCCTATCGTCAGAGATGCTGTTTAGCTCAGCTGCAGTTTTACTACAGACTTTAAGCTCCTTTGGATTTGGATTTTGTGTCATATATATTGATACGGAGTATGAATTACTTTATGTTGCTTTTACGTTTTTTGGTTAGCATCTGCTCAGTAATGGTGCGGTATATCTGTTTTTACACCACTCTAAGGTTCCTGTTCTCATACTCAGTACTCAAGACGGACATGTGATCCTTTAGGTACGGATGATAACACATGTGTACTTTATCTGTACTGTTTAATTAAACATAGAAGTTTGAGACAGAAAGTGAGGTTAGTTAAATCACTTAATATAATATGCAGTGTCATCTGTATTTACCTTAGACCAGCAGATATCCCAACCTGAGAGAGCACACCTACTGCTACTTCTATGGCACTGGGAAGATGTCACTGTGAAGAACAAATGGAATACATTCACCAAAATGATCAACCGTAGATGAAAGGCCTAGTTTTTTTGACTATGTGACAACCATTGGTTTTCTAGAGAGACCTCTGTTCAGTTCATCTTTTTTTCAGTGAAATCAAAACACTTTTTTTCATGTGCTAAGGGAAGCTGCGTACAACTTTCCAAACAGCAGATTTTTAAGATAATGTTTCACTTTTTATGTACGGTCTTTTTACATTATGTCATAATAAAAATAAAAGTCAGGTTTGTTTTTGGGGAATGTCTTAGAATTTGTGCCAGTGCCATTCATTTAATTGTAGGTGACATTTAGAAGGTCTTCATAAAAGGTCTGGAATTTCACCAGTGTTTTTAGAGAGGCTAGAATACGGTACATAAAGATGTCAGACAGTTTAAAGCCCCCTCCGCTGCCCGACTTTGAAAGTGTTTTCTCTCACTCTCTCTTCTCTCCCACTGTTCATTTCTCAGCAGGTACTTTGCCTGTTATTAAAACCAGAGCAGACTCACGTATCAGGAAACCTGGCTCCTTATATATCGGACACCTTAAAACCCACTTGCGCCTTCTCCGATTTTCACGTCCACGTACGTGATGCTGACAGTGGTGGGAGGGTCGTGTTTGGTTGAGATCGCCACCATGTTCATCTCAGCCATGTGGTGGCACAGAGGTCAATCAGGAACACAACCTCCAGCTGCCAGGTCTTGCCTGAAAAAAAAAAGTCTTACCCTTCATCTTATGTCTTATATCTTCACCACTGTTAGCTCTTGAGCTGTGTTAGCCATCTCACCAGCTTGCAGTAATAAATCTAATGCGGTATACAAGGGTGTTATCAGCAGCTGGGACCTATTTCTGACCCAGCAAAGTGCATGCATGGATGTGTAAATCAATACAATGACTTCAACAACCCTCTAATTTTGCACAAACATGTGACCCCGTATTGAAGGCGTCTTTGTTTGCAGAGCCTGCGCTCTTCACTTGCTCATTTTCCCTCCACCATATTTGTCCTTATTTCTTGAAAGACTGACTTCCCTGTTAACACGAACAGACACTTGTGTACGGTCAGTGCTGCGTACACTTCCCTTTGATGACAGTGCTCATGGTTTGCATGACTGTAGAGCTGATGCCTTTGCCGTGACCCTCAAAGCGATACTACTGTTTCTGTCAGCGATATACAAAGCAGTGCCCTGTTCATACACCGCTCTGGGAAAGCCCTTTTATTTTACACATTGTCCATAAAATATCTTGACTTTCCCATGAGCTTTTCTAAGAAATATCTATCAGGAAAATATAATAAAGCGTCACCATATTTTACAGTATTTTTTTATTTTTACTAACATGTTACAGTGTTCTTGGCTTAGTGGTGTTGACCAAACAATTTTTATCCACTCTTATACATATATTACATATATTTTTTAAATCATACTATTTTGTACCCAGTTTAATTGGAAACTACCATCATTGAAAGATCGTTTTCGAGTGTACTCTTCATTAAATTACACTTACACAGTTGAAAGTTAAAAGAAGCAGACCTTCTTTTAACTTTCAATTTTTAAACCTATCCATTAACCAAGTAGTCAGTGAAACACGAGTGCGATCTTTAGCTTCAGTTCAAACAGAATCCAGACGATAATAACGTGAAATCTGTTGAGACACTTATGGATAACGTCCTCTTTGTTTCAATAATCCTATTACCGAGCAACAAATAAGGGCTTTCCAGCATTTTCCATTAAATCTCCAGTGTCATTTTACTGTGCAGTAAAGATAATCTCAAGCAAAGTCCAATCTTATAGCACTCTATAAGACAGCCTCTACACTAATGTGCTGATCTGTCAAAGATGACTTAATAAAGTGACATATTTCTACTGTATATGAATCAGATTAAAAGCCGTCGCCCGTCAGAGGAGTGACATTAATACTCGCTCTCAAAGTAAGTCAAATATTATATTTTACTCCCTTGGGGATTGGTTTCTATGCACTGTGTACATTTCTTTGTGACACAAATTAAATTTTTATTGGGATTTTTTTAATAGCAAAAAATCATTATTCCAGGCAATATGGTGTCTCTGTGGGAGAGCAGTTAATTTCTGGGCCCTACAGCCTCACTCTGGGCCCCCTTTGAATTTTGTCACATTCATTTGTTTTATCCCGGGTTGTGTATGAACCTGATCTCCTCAGGAGGAGCCAGGGCCGCTCCATATCCAGAGGCTATCACGGAGCCAGGCTGGTGATGAGGTCCACAGGCTGTGTTCAGTGTGTGAACCGTATCAACATCAGGCTTCAAACCCTAGAACATGATTGAAATCCAGCGAAAAAAAGACAACCTGGAGAGAGAAGTTTAAATTATGAAAGTTAATTGATTGTCTCAGATTCATTTGCCCCCCCCCCCACCTCCCCCCCCAATATGGTACGCTTGTCAGCTTTGTGATAAATTACATACATGTATTTGCATGCATTTAGCATGTATACCTACAATTATCTAGACGATGATCCTCAGCCGTATTTCATGCACAAAAATACGCAGTAAAGTTTACAGTATTACTACAACTGATGGACACGGGTGGATAAAGGACAGTAATTTATTGACTTTATTGATTAGCTCCTAAAAATCTTTTGTGGCGACAGATATTGGTGATTTCGCAACAGTATTTCAGTACATTTTAGTATATTTGGACTAATGTTTAATTTGTTTTCATGTGTTTTAATATTAGGAAGAAGCTATATATATATATATGTGTGTATGTATATATATATACATACATATATATATATATATGTATGTATGTATATATATATATATATATATAATATATATATTTGCCCTAGTCCTTTGCAATATTCTTTAGAACATTAGATCCATTATTTTAGCCAGTTCCGGCTCTATTTATCTCCAACCTGACAAAACCTGTCAGATCCATTATTTTAGCCAGTTCCGGCTATAGTTATCTAGAACCTGTTGATTTTTAAGAGATTTCCCCATTAAAACTGCTAATTTCTGACACTGACACAAACACTTGAATATCCGTACACGATGTTTACAAGCAGATGTTGCTGTACATGACTCCATGGCCATATGTGCACAGTTTTGTTGTATTTCCTTCTTGTTTCCTGTTAACTGTTAACTTTTCGATGTCTCTTTAGTTTTCATTTCCTTTCATTTCTCAAAAAAAAAAAAACATTCTTGCTTTTCCATCTTTTCCATACCAAAGATAAAAAAAACCAAACAAACATCCAGGTCGGCATCAACAATGGCGGTGCCATTAATCTTAATGTTGGCAGGATGTCCACCGTCTAAATGTGGGCGCAGTAATCATCTGCTCACTGACCCCTTGACGCTCGTCTAGAATCCCCTCTGCAGTCTTTGTCTTATCTGCACTTTCAAATCTCACCATAACTGAGTACAGTTGTCCTCCACGTGTCACATGATCAAAGAGCAGGGGAACATCAATGGGTGCGACACAAAGGAATTGTAAGAAAAGCTTTGTGCATGCTTACATTGTGAACTGCCAGTAATCAGATGCTGCTTTTTTCAAGTCCTGTGATAAAAATTAGGCGATGTTTCCTAAATAAGGGATGAAGGGTTCATAATTGCCGGTCCTCGAGATCTGAGATGCTGGGTGCCAACTGTCATAGCAGGGCTAATGATGACAAATGTCCCTCTATGCAAATTGCAGCAGAGGCAACAGCATGGCTGTGCAGTTGAGGAGGAACAAGAAAGGAAAAATGTACACAGTCTAATAAGAGAAAGCCCGAGTGCACATTTTAATGACCTACATGGAAGCCAGCCTTTGTAAGTGATGAGCTGACGGTGAAAGTCCTTGGGCTCCATGCAGTTTAGAGGTTCTCCAAAAATGTCTGACTGATAGAACACGACTACCAGGACTCATTAGTGTCTGCGGCTTCGTTGATGGGGTCAAAGAAATGTTAAAAAAATTAATTTGCTTTAACTACATTTCAAGCATTTCACTGTGACCGTAAGATCTAATGTACGTCGTGAGAGAAATTAAAACTTCGGCTGTATATAACTGCTCTAGGTAAATGCAGAGGCAGAGGCTCTCGTGCTGTACTTCATATTCTATGGACCAAAAACAGACACAGTCGGCACAGGTTTTTCAGATGTTCTTTGGGTAAAGTATGACAAACCAAGTCTGCACAGCATCTCAGACTCCAGTATCTCCATGTGTCTGGTCTTCATGTGATCTGGACTATTCTAGGACACAGACTGAACACGTTTCTAAATATCAGGATTTACTAAAGCGATTTTCTGAAGACTCCATAAAATAGAGGGATGGGTCGGACTGCTGGGCAACAAGAAAATGGAAATTGAAAAAAAAAAAAATTCTAATTTCAGGTCGGGTTTTAGGAAATCATTAACTTGTTTTGGTTGACAGAAACCTGACACACTGTCAGACTAAATGTGCTCCGTCGAGCACATGGTTTTTAGATGTTTCTCTTTTATTTTTCTTCAGAGAGCTGCTTTTTATCACTGCTCGGAAATAAAAATGTTTCTCTCTTTCTTTCAACTTTATGTCTTTCAGAGAAGGGAAAATGCTTCTCCCATGTTTCTGAGCCGGTCTGTTCCAGCCAAAACTGGCGATGGAAGTGTAAAGGACACCGCAGGCTCCAATCTTAGCATCAGACGTAAGTAAGTCCTGTACTTTGGGCTTTAAAACATTAAAATATAGATGTTGACGGTGCTTGAGCTAAATTAAGGCAAACAATCCATCAGCTCTGGAGGGAGCACATAAACACGTGGATCAGCATTGTCCTTCTTTGGTGCGTTTAGCGCATTAGCATGCTGACATGTTTTTTTATACCTATGGGTTGTGTGCTAAATAACAGGCAGTTCCTGGTTGGCACAGATGCACAGTGTGAATCAACATGGTCTACAGAGTTTGTTTTACTTTAAAATACGTCCTTGATTTCAGGCACCTTCGCATTAGGGAGCCATAAATCTAATTTCACTTACTGTGACATGCGGCTCATGCTAATAAAAGAGCAAACGGGCAGCGTTCCGTGGCCAGATTTCCTCAATTTGTTGCATGAATGGCTTTTGGAAGGGGGTCCCTCTCTGTACAAAGGGAGCCTCGTCTTTGTTTGGTTTTGCCCCATCTGTGTCATCTGGTGGTCTGTGTAGGAGGGGCGGTGTCTCGGGGTACTCCCCAGCGGCGTTGCCAGTTGTTTTATGGACTCGGTAGAGTGGTGCCTGGAGTTCATAAGCTGCCCGGCCCATTGTGTGCCGGGCCAGGGTGACACGTGCGAACTGAGCGCAGCATATTGACAGATCATTTCTATTAATGAATAGAATCGGAGTCTGGAGGAGTGGAGTCTGGTCTAGTTCCTCGCTCTGATTTATGCCGTTTGCTTCATCATCCTCTAAGTGCAGGGAGAACGAACAGGAATCTGGAACGCTCGAGAAGAAACTGCAGCAAGAAATGTTGTTCATGTGTAAACGTATCAACCTACGGTAAAATTCAAATTCAAAAGAGTTACCCCGACGACACGTTACCTGACATGTACATTGGTTATATATTGTTATAGAAGAAAAAACTAAGAGAGTTTGTTCCATAAAGTCAGTTTATTTAACTACCTGAAAACTTAAAGTTAGTCATAACACTCTTAACTAGTCAGTGGAATATAAACCCAGCTAGGAGTAGTATTGTAATGACAAAGAGTTCAATTTAATTCCATCTGTTGAGCGGAGTGATGATTTTCTGCCTGTCGATGTTCCCACTGTCGCTGCAGATTCAAACACCACATGAACCGTGAGCCAAAGAAGTGACTAAAAATGTAATCAGATTATTAGGAGTAACTTAATGTACAGCCTGAAACAGATGTCAAACTGAGCACTAATATAATCAGCAGGGACACCCTGACGACACAGCTGACATCACAGCATATTATGGGATGTTTAAGGACTTAGACATGTTTGAAAAATTAGTTTTTATTAGTATAATAACTGACATAAACATTTTCTGTAAATCTCTGCTTTATTTTTGACATTTATATCCAACAAACTGTGTTTTCAACCTATTTTTATTTAGCGATTACTTCATCTTAATAAAGAAATTTGTTAATGTCCAGTTATCACTGACAACTGATTGAAATGTGTATTTTTAGTTGGGGGTAGAACAACTATAAGGGGGAGAGGTGGTGAGACAGTTTTTTTTTGGGGTTAGTGAGCCCCTGATGTCTCCTCCACCTCGGGATTCATCCAGGATATGGCCTTCATCCAGGTCGCCGCGATTAAAGCTTAAACAGCCACAGACTGTGCTGATAGCAGTGGCCCATCACCACCACACCCCCGCCCTCTGCTGCTGCCACATGGAAGGCACATTTGCACCGCCACCATTTTCTTCCGCTGTCACCCTCCCTTCAAGTGCGAGCAGGGGGAGGAGGAGCACACGAGAAGGGAAGCTCAACCCCTGAACGGATGCGAGACAAAGATGGCAGCAGAGACATTTTGTCTACTTTCATTAGTTCTGCTGCTGCTGAGCCGTGCTGAATATTAGCCTGTTACTGCGGCGGAGCACAGACACGGAAGGGCATGTCACAGTCACATCCACCCTGCCTGCTTTCCATCTACTCCCTGAAAAAGTGGGACATATGGGGGCTGAATGCCAATTGCCTATTTTATACGGTAATTATTGACCCTTCAAACCATGTTATATGGTATGTGTCTCAGCTGTGACAAACTTTAGCTCAGAAAAATACATATTTATATGTTTTCTGGATCAGGTTAAAAGATATACTCAAAGATCCACGTAAATATTTTTGGCTTGACAGAACAATCTTTCACCTAAGTTTCAGCTAAACTATTGACTCACAGATTCTTTTTTTTTTTTATTTTTTTTTTTTTTACATTCTCACTGACATTTAGCTTTTTACGGGCAATATTCAGCTATTTTCTAATGGGTTTTTTTTAAACCTTTTTTTACACTTATACTTAGCTGACCTGTCATTCAGCTAGGGTTCGACTTTTCCAACCATTAGCTAACTAATTTAGCTATAATCTAGCTTCTGTGATTGTATTTAAGCGAATTGTGACCAACATTGAATCTAGCTTCTGTGATTGTATTTAAGCTAATTGTGACCAAGTTTTGAACATTTTTTATATAATTTAGAAAGCAAACCTACCATTGGTTTTCTGGAGCTATTTGTAGACCAACATTTACCAAATTATTTTTAGCACAATTTATATTAGTGGTAAATGTACCTATAGCCTATTCATATCCAACACAATTCAATATTAGTATCTGAGGCTAATTTTGTGGTTTGTGCTTTTTACATTTTCGTGTGGTGCTAATTTTGTCTTTTAAAAATGCTTCAGGATCTATTGAAACTTTCAGTTCTACTTTATGTGTTTTTGCAGTTTTGTAGCCAACGTGTGTTAATCACGTTGATTAACTTGTTAAGATTGATCTGACTTCAGATACGTCCGGCTTTTCTTTTTAAGGAATGACTCTTTTCCTGGACTGTGATTGGTCAAAGAAAATAGTCACAAATTTAGTCATAAATTATGATTATGACAATTATATGATTGTGATTAATCATAACCACAGCTCCCCTGTGATTAATCTAAAATCAGTCTAAAAAGTTTGGAGAAGATTTGAATCCATAGTCATATGTATGTAAATGCGAAAGGAGACGGAGTCAACAGGTGGAAACACCATGTTAGTTCTACTTGGACTAAGTCTAGACTAAATCTAACAAACAATAAATAAATCAGCTGTTGTACTTACAGAAACAGCCAGTCTGGTCACCAGGAAAACAATACAAATAATCATTTACGAACCTTAGAGAAAAATTGGAAGGCAGCGGTTGTTAACAGTTTTTGTGGTACAATAAATGTCAATGTTGTTGTATGTTAGTGGTTCAGTTAAGCACACACTGCTAGACAGTGAGCAATAGAAGCCATGACTGCATCTGTGGCCTGTATTCTGATGCTGGCTCATGAATATCAGTTTATAACCATAAATGTCAATAGATTTTGGATGGGGCTCATACATGGTTGGTTATGGACAATGATGCAGACAATGATCCATGTCTCCAGACGCTGTGACCATTGTCATAGCTCATTCTCAGCTGGTTTGACTATGATTTTAAACCAAAGGGTGGGAACATGGTGTAAAGGATAAATAAATATATGATGTCACAGGAAATGGCATAGGGTCATAGCATGTAGCAGTGGCACGGCTCTATTGTATGCATATACATGTGAAGAGTTCAATACTATTAATGCAGTTCTTACATTGGAAATATTCTCTGACTTATCTGTATGACTTACACGTACTGTTTTGAATGAACTTTCCAAATTATAGTTGAAAGGTTTCATAGGATTTTGGAAAATTAGGCTATTTAACTGACTGTTGTTTATAACTTGGCTAATCTTTTGCTATTTGTTAGTAGCAGTTTGTAGTAGTTTATCAATTAGTTTTTCTTATTGCCTACTTAGCAAAGACGCATCGACTGTATTTGGCAGTCGGATTTATTTTCATTTAAACACAATTTAAACAGACAAGCAAGTTCAAGGATTTAACCACATTTATACACCATTTGGTGCATAAAAAAAATAAAGATTTTGGAATAAAATATTTTTTTTACTTTTTTAAAATAGGAAATCGTGTTTGTAGCCTGTTAAATGTCAACATTTTCATTAGAGGATCGGTTCTCAGATCTTGGCAGGAGTGTGGTGAAGGCACAGAGCAGCGTTGTCGCCTGTTTGACATCATCAAACGGAGGAGTGGATGTGGAGTTTATACAGGCAATAATTTAAGAGGTGAAGAAGAGGAAGCCACTGCTGCTCTGCTGCATCTCTGGGCTCTGGAATAAATGATTGAGTGAAAAAGGCAGAAGCTGCCAGTCGGCAGCTCAGGGCTCGTCCTGACGCCAGCCTCACTGCTCCTTGACTCGCCTTGATCACGTCTCACTGCTCTCTTCTCATCTCTGCATCCAGTCTGCAGGGAAAAGCTATTTTCCCCTCTCATTTTTTTCCTCCCTAATTTACACATTTAAGACATTTTGTTTGCTTATTTGCGATTCTCTTTTTTGTCAGGGAGCCTCTCTCTAACAATCAGTTCCAGGACCCTGACACACACACACACAGACACACACACACACACACACACACACACAGACACTCTTCTAACCTTGCCTTTCTCTGGTGTGTGCCTCCAGGCAGTGAGCTAATTTCAGCTTCATAATTGCACTCAGTGTTGTTGTTGTTGTCCTACACCTGTCTGCTATTAATTCTCCCCTGTCTCTCATTCTCTGTCTTAATGAGATATTATTGTAATTACTGCCATTATGGTATTTTCTGTAATGAACTTAATTAATGCTGTTGTTATGAGAATATTTATACTCCGTAATTAGAGTAAATGTGTGGGGAAACTCTCAGCAATCCAAAACCAGATGTGTCCAAAACCTGGACCAGGGGTCAGTCTGGTCAACCACTGCACCAGGATTCCTGTGGCCACTAACTCCTGTCTTAGTTTGACTGGCCAGGGTGATAAAACATTCCAGGGGTGTTACAGAAGGTTACAGGAGGCAGCGCAAGTTCTTTGATCTGAAAATTGACAATGATCGTGTTACATATTNTTCTTTGATCTGAAAATTGACAATGATTGTGTTACATATGTGATATGT